TCCGTGTTAACTAAACAATCAAGCTTTTAGAAATACAGATAATAACCAGAGGACAAGAGCGGCGTCAGCTACATCGGGTGCTTGAATAGCCAATATCACTCTTTAAAAAGAAGCATTATATTCAAAATATGGCACTATGGACAAGATTGATGGGCATTTTTACTAATTGTACTGACAGACCACAATGAGAATTGAACTGCTGCCAGATCTTAGGGTAAAACAGTGATAAACGGATTGTTTCAGGGAACAAGGGGATATTGAGGAGGGACTTTTCTTGTTTTGATTTCATTAAGCTGCTGCGTTATCAACTACTGCAAACTGCTGGAAATATCAAGCGCCAGGTTCTCTGGTGGAGCAGCGTTCGATGGTCAAGAAACCAAAGTCAGTTCATTTCTGAAATCACAAGCAAAGCGTGGTTGCGTACAGGTATTCCTTCCTCACTGGTGTGAACAGTTGTGCGTGGGCTCACATGATCCAGAACAGGTGTAACGTTTCCGACTTCCAGACTATAGGTAGAAGGGAGCGAGTTCAACTCTGAAGAATCAATCTGCTGCTTTCAGTTGATGGTTTGCTTTAAATCAAGGTGCGGCATTATGTTTACACTGGTGCCAAACAGGGTTCATGCCAACTACGGTTACAAGGACAACCGTGCTCAAAGTTAACCATGGTTAGCGCCAATGCACACATACTGCGCCAGGGTTAAACTAAACATGGAAGGGAAGGAAACATGCTAGCTGCACCCTCTGCGTGGCTGGGAGATGGGGAGTATTATGCACACACTGTCTGGTTACAAACAACACACCCTTCACAGTCCTGAACTTCCCGACTTTGCTTCCAGTTCCCTCCTCAAGGTGAATGCAGGAGGACACCTTGCAGAGGGAAAGAAAATATTGTGCAAAGGGATTTGGAGCGGCTAAATCTTGCCTCGGTCAAGGACTGACTGCAGCAGCCCCAGACAAGTTGCTTTCGGTTTGCCTTCCAATGCAAATAGGGCTGAAGTGCCTCCAGACATGCAAAGCAGAGAGGCAGGCCCAACGCCCCTGGAATTAGGTTATGAAGAACAGGAGTCAAACTAATGGCCAGTTATAATTTTTTTTTTGGGGGGGGGAAGAGAAATGTGCGTCTGATATAGCACTTGAGCTATTTTAATGCACCATCACACTGAACTTTCAGAAGCGTAATAGCTGCAACTCTGCAAGAATGGCCCCAGCATTTTTTTTTTCAAGTACACCGGACAATGGTTTGTGCTCCTGTCTAATTTTAAACAGTCTATACAGATATGGGAAAGAGGGTATACCAAGAGGATAGATCTAACTAGCCAATTTTGCATATGCTGTCAAATTTAGAGCGTGCACACTTCTTATTTACATCAACATTTCCCTTCGCCGTCGCCACCACTACCTTATACAGTGAAACGTCTTGTGTATAAAAATATATATACATTCTTCTCTCTCTGCTACTGTGGCAAGAAGGGTAGGCCCAATGATGCTTCTCAGTCAAAAGGAAATTCAATGCCTCACCAAACCCCCTCCCAACCCCCCCCCCCCCAGTACACCTTCCACTTGGAATATCTCATTGCCAAGAGGAGTGCTACAGAAGGCACACTTGTAAGCCAAGTTTTACCATATGCAGAAACAAGTAAGAGACCTACTGTTTCCTTAAACGTATTTTGAAATGTGGCCGTGTCAAAGAACTTTTTAAAACCCTTTCCATTCTATTCGACAGAAATATGGAAAACTGACTTCATCCGGGAAGGCAGCAGCAAGGGGGCTGACGAAATTCTCCTTGCCAGGAAGAACGGACCTTGCAGAAAGAACGAAGGCTGAATGTTTCAGAGTCTACCTTACCTGCCTCTGTTTTCTCCAAGAGAGCACACGCGTTTTAATGTCATGATTAAAAAAAAAAAAAATTTAAGAGGATGGGGGTAAGAGGAGTACTTGGTTCGGTAGCCACTCCACCCACTGAGAACTTTGACTGACCACTCTTTCAGGGGCACAGATTTCATAGCACAAATCCTAACCGCTTTTTCATCTCAACCCCCCCCCCTCCAAAGATTTCTCTGTCTTGAGGCTGCGTCAAGTCACTCCTCCAATGAACTAGTTTGCTAAGGCAAGCAAGTTATGCTTATGTGAACAGTTGCCAAAGTAATAGTGATCTGATATTTTGAATACTGATCCGCAACAAGCTTTACCAGTGGGTCTCTCTGGGAGGGGGGGATGATGGTGATAATCAAGCCCCCCCCCCCACTGCCAGCAAAACCCTGGCCACATGGAGGAACTGGACGGTACTTCGTGGGGCGCAGGCTGGGCCCAGGGGGGGCTTCTCTTTGTCAACTCAGTAGGCTGAATGCGACTGGCTTCTCCAAAGTCCCACTTTGGAGAAGACACAGACCTTAAAGCAAGTAAGCACCACATCTTCCTGAAGGTAAGATATATTAATTTTTAAAAACTTATTGCCGCTTATTGGTCCTGAGAAAGATTTCAGCAGCGACCTCTTTTCTAGTTACTTTATCTGCTGTTGTTTTTATTTTTTTAAATAGAAAAACCAAGCCGCCCACAGGTCCTGAGGTTTGATCTTTTTTTGTGTGCTTTCTTCAAAGACACAGCATCATTTAACGTCATTTCTGCTTGGAAAATTACTTTACTGCCAAGGCCAGCTGTACCCTGCCCATCTTCCATCGCTGGGCACCACTAACTGCTTTCTCAGCGATCTGTCTTGAATCTGGCCGAAGGGTCGCTTTTGTTTTTAGTCATTAAGGTGGTGATGAAACAACCCCCTTCCTCAACCTTGATCAATACCACTGGTACTTATGCCAGGGTGTAATCACACTTCTTGCTACCGCAGGGGAAGAGTAAAGTTTACAGGAGATATTCCTGGCCGCTCACACCCTTGATCGACAAGAGCTCCTGCATGCGTCAATCTCCTCACTCATTACGCTGGAGAAAACAGACATCCGTGTGCGTGTCTAGAGCGATCTCTGCCACAGAAGCAAGCCGGACAAACCCCCGTGTGTTAACTGGAACTTCCATATTTGCACTCAGTCAGGGGTTACCTCCACTGTAATTAACTAAGGGTGTTGGGGGGGGGGGGTTAAAGAGGACACAAAAGATTCAAGTTCTTCTTTTTGGCTTTAAAGGTTTTAGTGTCCAGAAGTTGCCCCCCCCCGCCTTTAAAAGCCACTGTGCATGATTCCCCCCCCCCCATTTGACCAGAAGAAACACGTTCCTCTGCAATTGTACGAAAAGGCAACTTGAGGCAATGGGAGTTACGTCACCGGCGAAAGAAAAATGGTCACAATTTCATGAATGCAAAAGAAAAAAACATATACGATGAAAAGCTAATCCCCCCTCCCACAACATTTCCTATTAGAAGCTTTGGGCAGAACTGTTCCAAGCTTTCCTCCTCCTTTTAAAACGTCAAACCTGCATCGAGCACGGTCGTATCTCTACTCATTTAAAACAGACTACTCCCTACGCCTTTATATAAAAAATATTATTTTTTTTACAAAAGATGCCTTCAATGCTCGGAGAAAAGTAAGCGGATAAAATTCTACTCGTGGAGGGGGGGGGGAGAATCTCTAAATATACAGCTAAAGAACCTTATCTTACAAGTATAATTTTCTTTTTGTCGCATTTCTTCCAGTGTATAAACTACTCCTAACATATAACATCTTAATGTTTGCACGTGGTTTTACCCCGGTGTCAGCTCGTCACTTCGTAACGTCTCCACGAACGAGAGAGACAGACAGACAGACAGTGCTTAGCCACTTCCTAGAGAGCTGGTGTGAAAGTGGAGCCGGACCGCCCGCTTCACTGGTCGCCGCCTCTGTCCATGTTCTCGATCACCCTCGAGAGGCGGATGTTCAGGAGCCTGATCTGACTGTCCAGGTGGTCGATCTTCTCCTCGAGGGTGCTGTGGCTGCTCCGCCTCCAGTAGAAGCCCACCGGCCCCGTCATGAAGTAGACCGCCACCACAAAGCACAGGGGCAGGAGGGCGTGCTCCGGCTCCCCCTCGTACTTCTGGAGGATGTACACGCAGGAGAGGGCGAAGAGGGCGACCCGCACGAGCCAGAAGAAGCGGCCGCACAGCACGTGCAGCAGGTAGAAGAAGAACCCGAGGAAGAGCGAGACGAACCAGTAGGCCAGCAAGATGGCGCCAATCAGCAGGAGGGCCCGCGTGGGGTTGTTGGCGATGGCTCCGGGGCTGAAGTAGTGGGTCAGGTTGGAGGCTGAAAAGAATTGACGGAGAAATGAAGAAGAGACTGGATTTCTACCCCACCCTTTGTTGAAAATAGTTTTGTTAAGTTTTCTCGTGGAAGACTCAAAATAACCACACCAAATACAGTTAAGTCAAATGGTGTTTATATAACTGGTGAATGATTAAACAATAACTTTGTATATAATAACAGATCAACATAGAGCTAATAACAGTTAAGCTCACAGACACACCAACTGACAGAGAGTAACTGAATAACTGTCACTCTCAGAATCTTTGTGTATGACCAAGACAGTCGCGACAGCCAATCAGACTTCAGGCTGCCTCACACAGATGAGACTGACAGAGCCTCTCAGTACACGCCCACATCTCTCAAGCTTGTATCCTCAAGTTGTCTGCAGGCGCAACCTAACTTTATACATGTAAACATTATCTCTGCACTTGTACCTCTATATTCATATTCTGACACCCTTCTCTCGGAGTCTTAGAGCGGCTTACAAACTCCTTTCCCTTCCCCTCACCACAATGGGACACCCTGTGAGGTAGGCGGGGCTGAGGGAGCTCTTTCCAGAACTGTCCTTCAGAGAACGGCTCTGACAGAACTATGGCTTGTGTTCAACCGGAAAATCCAAAAGGCCTCCCTCTTTAATAGCATATTTTTCAAATTTATCTGACTAAATTTGGCAGGAGGCACAACCTCTAAAACGACTATCCTAAATTCATCTGGGCTGCGCCCCGCATCAATAAAATGCTGAATGACTGGAGCTTCTGCACAATTATGTTTTATACGCAATTTGTGTTCCAACACTTGCGTTCTTAGCGTTCTAGTGGATTCTCCCACATATTTTTTTGCCCCGTACACAGTCCAGGAGATACTGTGCCGTGACTCGGAGGCGTTTTGGATTTTCCAGTTGAACACCTGCCAACCGCATGGGCTAAGTGTTTCTTTAGAACTATGGCTTGCCCAGGGTCCTCCAGCAGCTGC